TTATACTGGATGTTTTTTTTCAGACCAGTATTGACACAGTGTAAAGCAAATAAACTCCTGCAGAAAACAGGAACAAAAAATGATTGGCTTCTCAAATTGTGCACACATTTCAAATAAAACATTCTTTGCAAGGCATACATTTGTATCCATTGACTTCAAGAAGAAATAATCCCTTTTTACTGTAATTCAGATAAACTTGTTTTCATTCCAGTGTACAGTTTTGCTTCTATCTGATGTATTATATCTGGAGATGTTGTTCATGGCTGGTTTAAAATTATCAGTTATTACATTTTCCTATGAAACAGCACCTTATTATCTTGTTTTGAAAAAGACTGGGCATTTTCTTTGAGCAAATCCTCTCTTTATGTATTTTTATATCTATGTCTATTTTAAGAATATCATACCATGGTGAAAAGGGCATTTAAATGCAACAATTTGACCAATGTGAAATTTAGTGAATGTTAAAAAAACACAAATACAAAAACTTACAATATGTGTTTCCTGTTTCTCATGAGTTTTTGCATTTTATGGTTGCTAATTTTAGTGTTTCCCTTCAAAATAGAATGATAACAGCTGCAGACCTCCCCCCTTCCCAAAACATTGTCCAGGGGATACACTCTACACATAGGACTATAGAAATCAAAATGGCATTTCACTATTATGCACAGTGCATACATGTTAAACATTGTTGGAGACATCTTTGTATAATGTACACATTTTACTTATTTTCAGTAAATGGAAGGCTAATAGAGGGTGGCGGGGAGCTTTCTAAATATATGATGGCAGTTGACATTGATTTAAACATATCATTAAAACAGTTTACAGTACTTGTGCCGAGGACAATGACATTTTGTTTATTTCAGTTTTAAAGGAATGAATGTAATTTTTCTTAGCCTTTGACAGGAATGTTAAGCACAGATCAAAACGGAAATGCTTGATCTATCTTTGCCATTCATGATCTTGTTACCAAAACTGTATTTGTAAAGGACTCTGGTTCAAAGCCTACTAAATGAGACTTTCTGTGCTCCTGGCATTTGCTTAAGAATTTGTACTGAGCTAGGAAGACTGTGCATGTCCTTTTAAGTAAAAATTGTTCAACTCATTTTTTCTAATTTCAGGCTATATTTGAATGTATTATCATACTGTATACTATATTGTTATTTAAAAACAAAACTACAAACCTGAATCCTGTGTTTTGTATGGACAGTGTCATTGGAATGAAATGTGTATATTACCCTTCTGCACATTTTACACATAGAGAGAAATACATAGATTATAAAAGCTAATACTTGTGCACTTCTTTTGTTGGTGACTGATGCTGCCTTAGCTATGGCAGCTTTCAGGCAGCACAGTATTATAGTTTCACTCTACCTCCTGCTACATGCTTAAGGGAGGAAAAAAAAAAACATTTATGTTAGACTTAAAGCATCATGTATTCCCTCAGCTGGTGGCTGGCACTAGCTTTTTATCTGCTTTTGTCTACTGAAATGAAATTATATTTAAAGACACACACATTACAAATTTCAAATATTGGTGGCACTTTCAGATGCTTTGTTCCTGGTACCACTAAGTCAAGAGTGTCCTGTTGGCCACAACATGGCATTGTAACTGTTGCTATTATCAATAACTCATTAGCACCAAAACTTACACCTCGGTGGATTGAAGTGAGTCAAAAAGAGCCTTGTACAGCATCTGTTGTCCAGTAATGGAAGGCTGCAAGAATATATGTCTGTTTGGTTTTACACAAGCAAACAAAAAGATACGATGTTTCAAAGGCTGATATCCATTAACCGTTGAAACATTAGTCACCAGCTTCAAGGTGTGCTTTGTGCAGGAAGGAAGGAAATTAAAGAAATTGCAAACACTGAATTCAAAGCATACTGAAGTGTTCACTCGCTCCTTCATGGCATTGATTTTAGGGATATCACCTCTTGGGATAAGGAGGTTACCTAAATCAGTCTAAAAGTAAGTGTGCGTAGAATATCTTGGTCTTTAAACAATGGATCAAACACACTGGATATTGTATTGGCAGACTGCTTTTTACTTCTGTTCTTTAATAAAAATACATTCCAAAGACAGAAATGTGTCGTGATGTTACCAAAAGGATCATAACCTTAACATAAATATACTTTCATAGTCAATCATCTCGGAAGAGCTAGAAGAGCAGGTAAAAAGACCAAAGGGGCAAACTAGGGTGAGAGAAGCCTCAGTAATATTAAGGTTTGTGCTGCAGATAGTGCCTTTCAAGTTACAGGCATAAGGTGAGCAAGAGGCACCGGCACAAACAGCTGGGGATGTGACAGGCATAGAGACTTTAGATCAAGATACCAGTGCTCATAATGCTCCCCCCCAAGCCTGGCACAAGTCTGCAGATGCCTTCTGAAGACAAACACAGCCAAAGAGGTCTGGGAGGGATTCATCATCAGCTTTTACCTCAGCAAGTGATTTTCAAAAATGGTTTGGGCCAGTACAGAGATAGTTTAACCGTTGTTTTTACTTCATTCTCTTAAAAGGGAGAAAGAAAAAAGGTAAGACGGACAATAGGTTATATACTCATACTCGTGAAAACACAGACCATGCAACATAAAAAAAAAAAAAAAAACCATTCGTCGATTATCGCACAGTACTGCACCAGCTTCTGAATTTTATTTAATGTTATCACACAATGTTAGCTACCTAGGTAGACTAGCTAGCTGGCTAGCATGCAAGAGCCTTCACGAAACATAAGTTCAGAAAAAGCAAGTAGCTCATTATTTGCAACGGATGAAACTATACCACTTAAACATAATTTTTCTATGCATAATATAAACTAAAGCACAAAGAAATGTAAAAAAAAAAAAAAAGTTAGGTTAGTTACGACTGCGAGTACTTGCTAACTCGTAGGGCTGCTACTTGTTAGCTCTTAAACTCAGCTAATTCCAACAGTTATGCTCGCAGACCTCCGCGCATTGCAGTTTGAATAGACCAGCCAATAGGGTACGTTTTCAGGCATTACTTCCGTCAAGCTATGTGCCCAATCAGCCTGCAGCTTTTGTGTTGGTCTTACATTTTGAATTTAGGTGGAGTCTGAAAGACATGGTAGCAGTAGGACAGCTGAGAATCATTGAGATTTACTGTTACACGATTTCGTTTAAAAAATGAAACGTTTTGAATATTTACGTGTTCCACAATCAAGGATTTACTCTAAATGTTTGTATATTTAGATTATTTTTGAGACGCATGTTTCAGCTGCTCATTCAACGGAATACAGGTGTTTCTGTCAGTGTTTATTTGTAGCTAGCCAGCGAGAAAACTGACGTTAGCTAGCTGCTTACCTGGGCGCTGTACGGGTCATTGTAAGAAGTTCCTGGAGCCTAACATTAGCTTCAACTTAAGTTTAATTTCTTCTTGGTAAGTGATTGTTTCTTTCCGCTCAGTCAGTTTTGTATAACTTGTCTTTTAAATCACAACTTATTGAAGTGGTAGCTAAAGTTACAGGCTAGCTAGGTAAACAGTAACGCCGGCGTTTATTTGTGTAACTTTAGCTAGTTAGATATGAATCTGGTATTCGGCCACAGTTGGGAAAGTTATCTAACTATCTTTAGCTAGATAACTGAAACAGCCAGCCAGCCTGAGATACCGAATATTTTACCATTGTCTTATCTAGCTAGTTATTGTGATTGATTTTATATATATATATATTTATATATATGTATGTATATATATATATATATATATATAATCAATGTGTGTGTGTAAAAGGGTATGCAGCTAACGTTAGCTAAAATAGTGAACTAGCGAGTTTAGTCAGTTAACGTTATCAGGGCTAGCTAACGTTAGTTGTGTAAGTCATGCCAGGTTTATTGTTTGAAAAATAAATATAGGGACTGCTTGGTAAGCTGGTTTGGCAATCGACTTGACTTGACTAGTTGGCAAAGTACAACTGAAGTGTATTGGGAAAGGGCATGTTTACATTTTAAAATATTTTAACGCACCTGCATGTTGTGCTAAACTAATGGTTAACGTCACTGGACTGTGGATTTCAAGAACTTGGAACGTGGCTTTTTCTGAGACGCGATTCTGCACTAGGAAAACAAACTCGGGGCCTAACGGTAAAGGGGGCATCCTGTTTGTTCGTTGTAATGCAGGGCAACATGCCGCTGGCTGGTTTGCTAACCAGCTTTGTAGGACAAAATAATAACCAGTATTGAGGTGGCTAACATTGATTTGTTAGGCTAATGTGCCTGCACCTCAAGAAACATGCGAACAAACAGAATGAGGGTCGAGTAATGTGAGCTACATATTGGCTTAAAATATAATTAAGCATTTCCTTTTAGCTTCATCTTAGTGAAATATTTGCATGTCGTCATAGTTCATGGTATGGCTCTTCAACTTTTTATTTGTTTATTTTTGCAGGATTGGGGGACCACATCTATCATTCTATCATGGCTGACATTAGCACAATGACAGTGGGCACAGCTCGGAGTCTACTGGTGGACTCCTCCGTGTATGACTCCAGAATGGCTGAGACCTCCAAGGAGCATGTGTTCCTGGGCTTAGTATCAGAGGACACACAAGGTGCCCAGAACCTTTCCTAGTCTCTGTTGGTGGGCTTCCAACTGCTCTTGCCAAAAGGGTCAGGGCTTGGACCATACACAGTAGAGTCTGAAGACCTAACAGGCACTAGCATGTTAGGACTTCTGACAGTCACATTTAGCTGGCTTAATTTCACCCAGACCTTAGCCAGCCATGCTTACCATATTCCTCTGTCTGGCAGATGTGCTTCCTCAAGTTGAAACCAGAGTCGTACTAGTGGGAGAAGCTGGCAACAATCAAGACCTTGTGAAAGCATTGGAGGTAAAATTACATTACATTACAATTATTGGCATTTAGCAGACGCTCTTATCCTGGGCGACTTACATCAATTACAGGTTTTTTCCCACAATGTTATCTATTTATACAGCTGGATATTTACTGAGGTAAATGTGGGTTAAGTACCCTGCCCAAGGGTACAGCAGCAGTACCCCTGTGGGGAATCGAACCAACAACCTTTCGATTGTGAGTCCTGATCCTTAACCACTATGCTACAGTGCCGCCCCAAAATGATTTGTAGGTATGGTTATGGCACAGTGGCTTTGGAAACCTCAGTAGTTGTCTCTGACATTTAAGTCTTGTGTGCTTGTGTAAAAGCAGAGGGGGCCAGACAGAAATGTTGTTTTGTGTATCAACATTTTTCTAGTCTGGACAGTAATCGGTGTTGTGTAAAATGTATACACGTGTAAGCATTTTTAATTGTTTGTTTTTCGCACAAAGCAGCGGTGTTCCCCCAACTGCGTAATTGCTTGAAAGGGTTTATAGAGACAATTAAACTCAAATGCATTGCTACTGTGTTGCTCTCCGTGCAGGAAACTCAAGTCAGGTGTGCTAGGAGTAAGCTTTCACATCTGCACTCTGAGATAAGGGGAAGTTTATGGGGAATTTTGCAGAGATGCTAGGCGTATCTTTCTAAATGTTGAAAGGCTTTAAATCATTTCTGTGCGTAGAAATAAAAGGGCAGTTTGATTCGCTCATAGCTCTCAGCTGTTAATCTTGTTGACAAACATGTGCGCTGCTTAATTTCCTGTCCGCCTCTGACATGGGAATTGGCTTCAGCTGTGTTTTTCTCCTCTGCCAAGACTCAGTCAGGAAGCCGATGTTTTTGGTGGAGGGTGAATAAAAAATAAGATTCACCTTCTTCAGTCAGGTTTATGATGTGTGATAGAAAGTTGTGTGGACTGGAGATCTGTGGGAGAGATGAGTCGAGATGAACAGATTCACACTGAGGGGGTTTGGCTAAACCTTGGGGTGTGTCCGTAGTCTTGGAAACCGGCGCAGTAAGGCGGCCCTAATGATGAAGTCAGGCGAGGGTTGCGGGGGGGGTTGATGCAATGGTACTGCATTCCAGGAATAAAACCTGTTTGCCCTTGAGAGGGGAGCCTTGTCAGATGAGAGGCCTTCTTTAAATGATCTATTTCTGTTGCCACTCTGCAGTAGTGACACAGCTGCTGACAGCCTAATCAGAGGGAGGAAGTCTGCAGTGAATTGCCAAAAAGGCTCCTTGCACCTTTGAACTCTACTAATTCAGCAAAACTTTCCTGCATCTGATTCGACATTTGTTTGAAGTTCATGCCTCATGTATTACAAGGACTCAGGCCCTCTGCAGTGAATTTGTCAGTTGTCTGTTGCCAGTTTTATGTCCATCCTTCGTTTTTACAGGCCATCAGAATAATGGAAGTCCCAGTGGTAAAGATAAAGGGAGGTGAACCGGGTGCCGAGTCGAGTGAAAAGTTGATAAAATCTATAGTCAATATGGTATGTCTCTGGATTTGGGTGTTGCATGCTGAATTCGTTATGGGTCGATTTCTGCATGGACAGTCTTAAGGTGATTGGCGGTTGGAACCCTGTGTGTCTTAATCACATTGACAAAACAGCTGTGTCCAGATCCCCTTTTAACACATGGTGCTCAAACTGACCATCTCTAACAAAACAATGCCACACAATCCTGTCTGCTGCTCGTGTTTCCGAATTCACGCCCATCTTCTGATTCACGGGAGAAATGACACTTGGGATTCATTTATAACAAAGCCTATCTGTACTCGTCACCTCAGTGAGGCATTTGAGTCATTTTCTAACAAGTGTTATCTGTCTTCACCTTTCTCCATTTTGTTTTGCCCTTCATTGAGTTTCCTGAGTATGGTTGGTTTTTATTTTTTGGTACTCTGAAGATGCACTGTAATGGACTTATGGAATGGAATAATGAAAGGTAGAAGGAATATTAAGTAGTGTACATGTAGTTTTGCAGAAAGAAATAGTTTTCTCAATTAGGATGAAAACTTTGTGTAAACTGAAATTTGTGCACTATGTCAAGATGAAGCTGATATCGGTTCATCTTTAAGCACAGTCCATGTGTTGTCTTTTGTCCCAGTCTGTTAAATCATGGTGTCATTTAGTATTACATGAGAACTAATTTTGGGCTAATGGTATGTGTGAGAAAGTGCACCAATTGTATATTGTATGAACACTTACACAATAAAAAAGAGAGAATGTTAGTTTAATTTTGAGAACAGGCCATCCATCGTTTATTTCACCTACATGATGAAATGATACTTGCCATCAAGATTACTGTAGTGTAAAACTGACTGCAGTGTTTGCTTATGTTCCACCCATAATGGTTACAGTTATGCTCAACCTTTAACACGAATATCCCCTTTAAATTGTTTTTGTTCAGGATATTAACATGCCCTGCATAAAGACCCATGATGTCAAAGAGTTTGGAGATGGAGAGAATGCCGAGTTTGAGACAGTGTTTGTGCTGACGGATTTCCAGTCTCCTGAATACAGCTACTTATACAAAAATGACAACCGGATAGTGGGCCCGCCCGTCGTGCTCCACTGTGCAGCAAGGGGGGAGGTAAGGGAATGTGTAAATCACAATTTCAGTATGGACACAGAGCAACTGCAATTTTTATTTGATTTTCACAATGAATTTCTCCTTATAAGCTCTGTTCAGTTTTGACCATTTTAGTCTAATTTCTGCGTGGAAGAGAGCAGGGAAACGAAAACAGCAAAAAGTTGCACCCAGAAGTTAAATTTGATCCATAAGCGGATTTGATTATTACGATGAAGCCTGGAAAGTGCACCGCTGTTATCTCGGGTAAAGTGGAGCACCTGTTCAACTCAGTCAGGTTGCAAGAGTCAAACACGGCTGCATTCAGATCAGCAATCTCATGCTCTTACAGCTCTGTCATTTATGAACCAGTGTTACTTATTGAGACTTCAGACTGAAGGAAGACAAACATCACTCCCTAAGGTAAAAAGTGTGACCATAGAAAATCAAGATAGACATTTTTTATGCCTGGAATCTGAGAAATTGGGCAGGAAAAGATAATACGCTCTTGTGGTGATGCTCAAGAGGATGCTGACCTTTTGGCCTTGTGATGGTGGCGACATAGACGCACCAAATAGTTTTATTTTATGCAAAGTTCTTAGTTGTGTGCCTGATTGTTTGTTCTGTAGCCTCTGCCGTTCTCCTCACGACCGCTGTACTCCACCACCATGCTAAATCTGGCACTGTGCTTCACCGGATTCCGCAAGAAAGAAGAAGTTGTGAGTGTTCCCATTCAATGTCGCTAAGTTTGCCAATCATATTCCCACCTACTGTTGGGCGAAACAGGATGTGGTCAGCATTTGACAATTATTCAGCAAATACCCTTTTCTTCCATAGGTGAATCTGGTGAATCTGGTCCACCACATGGGGGGCACTATTCGCAAAGACTTTAGCGCCAAAGTCACCCACCTCATCGCGCACTCGACACACGGGGAGAAGTATAGGGTTTGTACCTGATGCCGAAGTATCAACTCTTTGCCTTGGTTCATACATTGTGGTTTTCCCAATAAGTATGCATAATGGTTTTCTTAGCAGTTCTGTAGCTTTTTGCTGTATACTGTTGAGCATAACTTCATTTAGGCAGGTAAATGTGGGATGATCCAATGGCCTGAGCAGTAATGCATTACTCACTCACATTACTTTCCTAAGTGTCTGATTGTGTGAAGATTCTGCTTAGGGAGCTGCTTTTGTCTCCCGTTGGGTTTCATTCCTGGGAGATTTACTGGATGACAGAGCTGCTCGCGTTATTGATTCTCCTGTGCTCTGTGCATTTTTTCCCCTCTTCTTGTCTCCCAATTTCTCTTGCTCTGGCGCATTTTGTGCTCTGCTGCTGCGACTTGAAATAACTTGGATCTATGGAAGAAAGTTGGACGTTTTAGCAGATTCTACTAAAAAAACTAAGAATAGGCTCTTTCTTATGCAAATGCGTTCCCTGCATGAACCCCTTTGGTGCCATGTTACTGTTGTAATTATACTGGATGTAAAAACTGGTTGAATCACCAAACCGAGCAAAAATCCACCTAATTAATGGAGTGCCTGGTGTTGAAATGCCGATCTTAGATCAATGGTTTGATTTGAATGAAATTTTAAGGGATGTTGTTTACTAGTTGTTCTCAGTAGAGCAGAAAGACTACAGTTGTAGAATATGCATCAGAGTATCCCTTCAAAATGACAGTGAGCATGTACTGTCTGAGTGAAATTAAATGTGCCACTTCACCACCAGCTGGCAGTATGCATGGGCACACCCATCCTGACGCCAGAGTGGATCCACAAGGCCTGGGAGCGCAGAGATGAGGTGTAAGTCATTCAGCGCACAAGCAACAGGCACATCCAAAGCAAGACATTTCCAGGTTTCTGTGCAACAGCAATCATGACGATAACTCCTCATTTGCAGCTGTATTTAGTCCTGCGGCCATCTCCGCTTCAGCGCTATTTTAACCAGGCGCCGTAGTCTCTTGAGAGCTGTTACATTGATCACCTTGACCAGGAGCCATGCATGCCCTTGAGATTCAAGAACCTGTCTGGACATAATAAAAAGCTCAGTTCCACTTAGTCACAGCAATAAAGCACATACAGCTGTCATTATTCTCAATTCATGTGTTTAATGCTCACTTTATGACACACTTTGCGTTCTGGCGGCTGATGACCATCTTTCCTTAACAGCGATTTCAGCGCCGGAGAGGAGGAGTTCCGTACTGAATTCAAAGTCCCTCCTTTCCAAGACTGCATGCTGAGCTTCCTGGGCTTCTCTGAAGAGGAGAAGGCAAACATGGAGGAGAGGACACTAAAGCATGGTGTTTATCTGATGGTTTTATTCTCGTCACTCCTTGATATGATCATCAGTGGCATCTTGACATTGTGCTGCCAGGACGCCACTCGTGGTTTCTAAGTATTTGGTAATGTGAGATGTGTCAACCCCCCCCCCATCCCGCCATGTCCAGCGGAGTAGGTAATTGCTTTTGTATGTAGCCAGTGATCTTCATACATGGGTCTTGTCATTGTTTACGTGTTGTTTTCAAGGTGGTCGTTACTTGGAGGTGGGAGATGAGAAGTGCACCCACATGGTCGTGGAAGAGAACACCATTAAAGAGCTGCCCTTTGTGCCATCAAAGAGATTGTACGTTGTAAAGCAGGAGGTAAATACACAGCTTTCATTTACCTCAGACAT